AGAAATCATTGCATTACTAATACTAATTTACAAAAAAAAACTGTTACACTTTACCTGCATTTGCCAAAGCAAGTATTCAGTTAAAAAACCTCAGCCAGTTTTACTTTGCTTTTTGAAAGATCTAATAAAGCAAAAGTTGGAGCAGTACATATGATTAGGTTGTCTAGCGAAACTCCGATAAGCTGTTAAGCTTTAATACCGTACTTACTTTAGCCCGAGATTGGAAATGAGTTTAGGCTGGATGAAATAGCGTTGAAGCTTGGTAAAAGTATATTCTGGGCTTTTAGCTGCACTGTAAAAGTTCATAACCTCAACCAAAAAAAGATCCAAAAATATTGCCAAAAATTCAGAAAAAAATTTCTTACTGATACAAATCTTGATGAATATATATAACAGTATTTTTCAAGATGCCGGATTTTTGGAAAAAACAAAAACAGTATAGGTTGCCGTTTAAATTAATTTTACAATCTGTTTGAAATTCAATGTGAAAGGATTAGTATGATAAAAACCTCTTAGAAATTTATATTGAAACCTGACAAACACAAAAAAAGTTTATATATAATATTGATAAGGCAACTGTATAAAAGTTTGGCACTTCCTTTTTTAATTTTCAATAATAAAATAAAATAATGCTGGACAATAGTTTTAATTAACTGACCTTATTTCTTATTTTTTTTTTTTTTGATTTACTGCCACTTCTCAGTATACTTCTCGGTGTCAAATTTGTTCCACTGTTTTTTTTTTTTTCAAATAAGCTTTGTTTTCGGATATATCGCTTTTCAATGGTTTAGTTCTTTAAGACATTTCAGCTTCAGGATGAACGTTGAAAAAGATAAAATTTAAAAGATAGATTTTTAGCTTTGAAAAAAAAAAGAGGATTATTTAAAAATTAGTAAAGAAAAGTCAATTTCCTTTAGGATTACTTTCTAATTTATTAACTTTGCAATTTTCTTTTGATTGACAACAAAAAGTCAAAAAAAGAAAAAAAAATATTGAATACAAAACGGTTACAACAAAGTTTATTACACTTAATATCTTTTGCCCAAAAGATGATTGCATTCTGAATAAACATCAGTAGTCTTCAACTATTCACCTACAGTCTCTTGTCATCTATGATTCCATAGGCTTTAGTCTGTGCAAAATAGATCCAAGAACTAAAGAAGTTGAAAAGCTAATCTACAGCTTAATACAAAAACAGAATAACACCTTTTTTTTCTTTAAAAAAAAAGTTTTTTTTTAGCAAAACCTATTTCTTCTGTTTTTGCAAAAAAAATAATTGCCTTAAAAAATTACAAAAAGAATTATTTGAATTAGACAGTTATCGTTTTCTTAAGAAGCAAATAGGTAAAGCCAATTTTGAAATATGAAATTATGTATTTACTATTTTTATCGTATATTTTTGCCTTTTTTTACCATTTCCTTCTACTAACTGTTAGTTTTTTTATGATATCAAACTTAATATTTAAAAAAAAAAAAATGAAAACTTAGCAAGCTTTAAAATTTTTACTCTTCTTGTGAAAGTTAAAAAAAAAACAACATCATTTATAGTATGTAAAAAAAAGAGCATTTTTGTTTGGTTTACAGTTACGAATGTCCAAAAAGCCAATTGCAGGTAATAAACTCCAGTAACTTTGCTTAGAAATCAACATACTATTCTTGCTGTATCAAACTGTATAATAAGTTTTAACTGTCAAGAGGACAGTATGGCTAAACATCTGCTCACTATTTTTGGACATTTTCTGGTACCACTGTTTATTATGATCAAAATATGTAAAAAGCGATTGGGTGGAATATATAAAATTCTTTTCTGATAATTAATTTGCAAAATTTTCTTCATTATTATTGTCATTTTTTCCGTATAACGATAGGAACTTGAGGTTCTGTACAAGAGAATTTGCTTTGCTAATTCTTTTCAGATGCTTGTTTGCCCAATTCTGTTTTTGCTTCTCCTCGACAACGGCAATGAGGTTTAATTGAAGTTTACAACACCTCAATGTTAGTTCCTTACTTTTGCTCCTATGAGGTAAACCTATAGCTTTTTAATTTACCGCTTAGAATACCTAATAACTTATATGACCTAATACAGCTTTTCCGTTTTGTATTTCCTGTTACAGTTCACCCAAAGTACTGTCTCCATGAAAGCTGTTTATACCGATATTTATTTGGTACTTTATCAAAAACGCTG